ACTATATCTTCTATTTCTTATATTCTTATAAATTCATATTACAATTTAATAAAAATAATTTAGGAAGGATTTTCACTTGTTTAAGAAAACTTTTCTAAACACCTTCCTAAACTTGTAAAAAACCTTCCCAAAAATTAGTTTAAGAAAGAATTTCACTTGTTTAGGAAGGCCTTCCTAAGCACCTTCCTAAACAAGTAAAACACCTTCCTAAAAATAAGTTTAGGAAGGATTCTCACTTGTTTAGGAAGGTCTTCCTAAACACCTTCCTAAACTTGTTAAAAACCTTCCAAAAAATAAGTTTAAGAAATATTTTCAGTTGTTTAGGAAAACTTTCTTAAACACTTTCCTCAACTTGTAAAAAACTTTCCTAAAAATTTGTTTAGGAAGGATTTTCACTTGTTTAGGAAGACCTTCCTAAACACCTTCCTAAACTTGTAAAAAATTTTCATAAAAATAAAATCAGGAAGGATTTTCACCTGTTTAGGAAGGTCTTCCAAAACACCTTCCTAAGCTTTTAATAAACTTACGAAAAAATAAGTTTAAGAAAGATTTCCACTTGTTTGGGAAAACTTTCTTAAACACCTTCCTATAGAAGTAAAAAGCCTTCCTAAAAATAAGTTTATGAAGGATTTTTATCTGTTTAGGAAGGCCTACCAAAACACCTTCTTGAACTTTTAAAAATCGTTCCAAAAGAATAAGTTTAAGAAAGATTTTCACTTGTTTAGGAAAGCTTTCTTAAACACTTTCCTAAACTTGTAAAAAACTTTGCTACAAATTTGTTTAGGAAGGATTTTCACTTGTTTAGGAAAGCCTTCCTAAACACCTACCTAAATTTATAAAAAAACCTTCCTAAAAATAAGTTAAGAAATTTCACTTGTTTAGGAAGGTCTTCCTAAACACCTTCCTAAACAAGTAAAAAGCCTTCCTAAAAATAAGTTTATGAAGGATTTTCACCTGTTTAGGAAGGTCTTCCAAAACATTTTTCTAAACTTGTTAAAAACCTTCCAAAAAATAAGTTTAAGAAAGATTTTCAATTGTTTAGGAAACCTTTATTCAACACTTTTTTAAACTTGTAAAAAAATTTCTTAAAAATTTGTTTAAGAAGGATTTTCACTTGTTTAGGAAAGTCTTTTTATACACCTTTTTAAACTGGTAAACCTTCCTAAAAATAAGTTTAGGAATAATTTTAACATTTGAAGGCCTTCCTAAACCGTTTTTCTAAACTTGTAAAAAATCTTCCTAGAAATAAGTTTAGGATGGAATTTCACTTGTTTAGGAAGGCCTTCCTAAACACCTTCCTAAACAAGTAAAAAACCTTCATAAAAATAAGTTTAGGAATGATAATCACCTATTTAGGAAGGCATCCAAAACACTTCCTAAACTTTTAGAAAACCTTTCAGAAAATAAGTTTAAGAAAGATTTCCACTTATTTAGTAAAGATTTCATAAACACCTTCCTAAACTTGTAAAAAACCTTTCTAAAAATTAATTTAGGAAGGATTTTCACTTGTTTAGGAATGCCTTCCTAAACACTTTCCTAAACTTGTAAAAAACTTTCCTAAATTTTAGTTTATGAAGGAATTTCACTTTTTAGGAAGGCCTTCCTAAACTTGTAAAAAATCTTCCTAAAAATTAGTTTAGGAAAGAATTTCACTTGTTTATGAAAGCCTTCCTAAACAAGTGAAAATCCTTTCTAAATTATGAAAGCTCTTTTAGGAAGGCCTTCTTAAACCCTTTTTCTAAACTTGTAAAAAATCTCCCTAAAAATAATTTTAGGAAAGATTTTCATTTTTTTAGGAAGGCTTTCCTAAACCATTTTTCTAAACTTGTAAAAAATCTTCCTTAAAATTATTTTATGAAGGAATTTCACTTGTTTAGGAAGGCCTTCCTAAACAAGTAAAAAACCTTACTAAAACTAAGTTTAGGAAGAATTTTCACTTGTTTAGGAAGGTCTTCCTAAACACATTCCAAAACTTTTTAAAAACTTTCCAAAAAAATAAGTTTAAGCAAGATTTTCACTTGTTTAGGAAAGCTTTCTTAAACACTTTCCTAAACTTGTAAAAAACCTTCCTAAAAATTAATTTAGGAAGGATTTTTACTTGTTTAGAAAGATGTTTAGGAAGGCCTTCCTAAACAAGTGATATTCCTTCCTAAACTAATTTTCAGGAAGGTTTTTTACTAGTTTAGAAAGATGTTTAAGAAAGTTTTCCTAAACAAGTGAAAATCTTTCTTAAATTTAATTTTGGGACAGTAACTATACTAACCCAAAATTAACAATTAATAACTTAAATAACCTACAAAAAAAAATTACTAAATAGTTTTGCATACCAAAAGTACCCCTATATCATTTGTTAGGAAAAAAGCTAATTACAAAACCGCAATTACTTTTTATGTTACCGAGACAGTTATTTACATTATTGCTACCGCGTTTTTGGTGGACTAAAATTATAAATGTATTTGTTGTAGACTTATTATTCATGTAGTAGATTTATATCTGAACACTATTGAGAACAATGTGTTGTATATTTATTTTGCAGACTTATCATATTTGGTGCAGATATATTAGGTCTCATGTGCAGACTTAAATTTGTGTGC